CAGCTCCCTCCAAAATCAAGGGCACATAATCTCAATGGATCCTCTGACACCTGAATAATCCTCTCAGACTGACCATCTATTTGCGAGTGAAAAGTTGTACTCAAGTTTAGAAGTGAACCTTCCTGAATACTTGTTATCACGATCAGAAATAATTATGTCATTACGTCATCACGATCAGAAATAATTGTTATAGAAGTGAACCTTCCTGAATACCTCTCCAAAATATAGAAGTGAACCTGTCATCACGATAAGAAATAATTACCTTCAGTATCCTATATAGTCTGACAATCTCATGTATATATAATTGTGCAACTTCTCAATTGAATATGTTTGATGGGAACAAAATGTGCAGACTTTGTAACCAGTCAACCACCACCCATATTGCATCATGACTCTTTCTAGACCTTAGAAAACCCATAGCAAAATCCATAGTGACATCCTACCACTTCCACTCAGGACTAGGCAAAGGTTACAACAAATTAATAGGTCTCTGATGCTCCGCTTTCACCATCTAACAAGTCTCACATCTCGAAACAAACTCAGCCACCTCACACTTTAACCTAGGACACCAAAACATCAACTTCAAATCGTAATCTCCCTGGATAAGTTGTATATCCAGAATAGTGAGCCATACTTTGAGACGTCTATCAAGATTTTCATTCATCTTTATCTTCTTTTATTCAGTCATGATTTTGGGTATTTTGTTACGCCCCATGAGTGCTTTTACAACCCTTCATTTGATAAGTTCATTGCACATCTTTGTTCTCCAAAGGTCAAATTCTTTAAGCCTCTCAAACTTCATGGCCACTATACTTTTTATGACCTTAGGGCAAATACGATGCACATAAAAATAACTATAGTAGAGAAATCAAGAACCATAAAAACACCAAAATATATGTGGTTTGAGTTTAGCAAACAAACGTTCACAGCTGCATAGAGTACTAATATCTACTAAGCTCCAATAGATATGCAAGAACAATTATACTTCAAATAAATTAAAGATATAAACTAAAATATTATTTTTATTTAATTAAAAGAAAATGTAGTCGTCTTCTACAAAAATGATGACTAGATTTGTTTTAAGAGGCTGAATAACTCATCTTGCAAGCCCTCCGAAGCCTTCTTCCTTCCTTTCTCGGATGGTACCTTTGTTATTTTTTTCTCTCTCCTTTCTGTATTGCTTCTTCTCGTGGATGCTCTATAAATGATGATTACAAGACGGATAACCTTTTTATATGAAAGTCACATTTTTTAATCTACTACGATAGCCATTTGGCCCTCAGGTACATCATCTTGATGGCATATGTACTACTTGCAAATGCTTAATGAAAAATTCATCAGTCCAATAATGTACTTTGTAATCATCAAAATCATGTTATAGAATCTTGAGGCTAACAAAAATCTCACCTTGGATTCCGAATTCAATATCCAATACACTACTATTTTGAACCCAATCAATGATGAATTAAGATCAGTACTTTAGAGTTGTTTGATTGATCCATCAATGAATCCATGATTCATAGTAACTCGTCAGTGAAAGAAAAACTTTGTCAATTTCTCCAAGAAGAGTTGGAGCACAGGGGGAAAGTTTCCAGCTTAGGTTTTGAAGGAGCTGCTTAAAGGTGGATATTTCTCTTTTATTTGCATCTTACGGTTTACTGTTTATTTACTTATTTAAAATTCGGAATAAAAGATTCATGGTTATATAATATTGAGATGCATCGGTTATGAGTACAAGTGATAAATAAATTATACAATTTCATGTTTTTAGTTTGTCCTATTCGTCTGATGGTTGATTTTGATTAGGAGACTCATTAAAATTGGGCTGGTTATCTGATTCCCGAGTTTGAGTTTGGTACTTCACTATTTATTGATCTCTTCCTTATTTCCAATTTAATTTTTGTTTTTATTACTCTAAAAGAAATGCTTAGTTTTATAGGCATGGAATTTGAATTTATTGAAGTTTTAAAGGATTTATTGATTTGTCGCAGTCAAAAGTTAAGCATGCATGATTACTTAATTTTATTGTACACTTTGAATTCTTACTTTGTTGTTATACTTTGGTGCATGTCATATATATAATTATTTAATATTGTATTAGTTATGTAATTATCTAACTTATTTGCTTTAATTTTTTACTCGATATGTTTTGGGCTTCAAAAACCGTTTATACTTTAGTAAATATGTAAATTTTCTTAAACTTGAATTAAAGAAATAATCAACTACAAATTCATAAGATTACTCCTAACACTTGAAATCTTATGCTAAGAACCGTTTATACTTCAGTTTTTATTTTTATTTTTTGTTTTAAAGAGAGCAAGATTCTATCCAAGAACATTTTAATTTTATTGCATGTTGGGCATTGCATAACATATATAAAAATTATTAAGTTCAAATAAATGATATCATGATCATTATTTTAGCCATAATTCCTTCTGCCTAAGAAAGATGCCCTCCATAGAGGGCAGTTGATAAGCAAGAGCTTTTCATACTTCATTTTCATCATGTTACCGTTTTGTTGAGATTCAAATCTCAGAACATGGAGGTAAAAAATTAAGCCAATCACACATCCCACATCATTGAAATTTTCAAATCAAATTAACTTTAAAAAAGACTTCATTTCAAATTGGTGGTTAAATATTCTTTGGTCTTGAAGGATAACCTTGTGGATGCCGTTTTATTTCTACAACGGAAGTTATTGTTGTTTACAATCAACAATCTCGATTTTATATATCATTTCATATCTATCAAGAGCTGATTATGTTTATATATATGTAAAGCTAGCTTTCACTTCAATGGAGAGTTTCATTTTTCTTTCTAGTAGATTTTCATATAGTTTTAAAAAATAATGATAATGATTACTGATCTTCAGATGTTGTATTGAAAATAACTTTGGTCACAAGTTAGAAAATCTGAAAAATTTTGTCTATTTAATGTTGGCAAAATTTATCAAGTTTTTTTATTAAAATATTATCATTGGTCTTAATATTGTCATGAAATTTGGTTTGCACCTAGAATTTCGTTTGTTTTGTATTTCATCTGGTAAAAAAAAAACTTATGCACAGTGAACCCCCTGTTATCAGGGAATTAATAAAAAAATATATAGAACACTAAAATCACTGCAGAATTTAATGAAGCTTCACCCCATATAGTTTAGTGATGGAGAACTGTAGTAATAGTTTTGAGAACTTGTATTCGTACAATCAGAAGAGCGAGCCATTTTAGCCTTAGAATGAAGGAGTTTTTATGTATGTCAAACGTGACTAAGAAGTTAATATATTTGACCTAAACTAAATATTATGGTGCAGCATTTGGAGCACCTCATGCTGCTGAACCCAAAAATCAAAGTTCAATAACACTATGCTTCTCTAATGCACAAGATCATCTAGCCATCTAGAGTTCCCGTCAAAGTTTATTACTTTGTGTTTTGTTTTCAATGTTAAGATCTTGACAAAGATAACCTTCACGAACATTACTCGTTGAATGAAACTTTGTTCTTGTCATAATTCCAGTGATATTCCTAATCCCACAATAAGTACACTTTTTTTTTAAAGGCTGTGTTTAGTAACGGTTGTTAGGGGGTGGAGTACTAGACTGCCTAATTTTTGGCCAATATATAAGTGGAAGCAATGAAAGGGGTGGTGAAACAAACAAAAAAAAAATTAAGGGATAGTGAGTATTTAAGTTTAAAGTTTTTAACTTTTTAAATTTTTTAAAACTATTATAAATATTATTATTGAATTAAAAATACAATTAATAATAAATTATCATGATATATGTAAGTTTGTAGAGACCAAAATTTTCAGGGCATTATATGATATTAAAGTGGTTAATAAAAATCAAGGAATGGCAATTGTTTCCCCTCAGCCGTCACCTGGCTCCACTATTTGTCACATGAGAGCCTTCGTCATTAGCCATTACTCTCAATTGAAACTCTATTCCCTCAAATACTCGTTGGAGTTGGTTGGCAGGCTGTGGTGTACGCACTACACAATTCTGATGTATTTACATATCTAACACTTAAACTTCCATCTTTACATGCATAAGACTCGAATCCTTAACGTCACATTAAAATTGCCCCAATTATTAATTTCTTTTAAATTGAAATACACCTTCTCATGCATAGGAATATGACACCATTGTTATAATTGTAAACATCAAACTTTAGGTGATAGATATGTAAATACACAAGAATTGCGTACTGTGTATGTAAATTTACCAAAAAACAATTACACAGCAAAACAAAGAACTTGCAGTTTGAGCAAAATAAACCTTCACTTTGATTTTGCAGCCACATGATAATAGAGAGGAAATTGGAGCCAAAACACTGTGATAATCTTATTGTTTTTCTTTTTCTCAAATTTCAACTCAACTGAATGCCTCCTTATATAAAGGAAAATGCTCAACATACAGGGAAAAATCTTAGAAAATAAAATAAAATCAGAAAAAGTAAAATCAAATTCTAATCAATATGTAAAGAATAATTATTTTAGAAAGGTTTCATTAAATTCCACGCAATTAAACCTTTGTGCTTTGGCAGATTCCCTTTTGTTTCATGTTTAACCTATGCGACATTTTAATGTTGAAAGGGCCATAAGGATGCTTTTTCCCCTTGTGACTACGTTCACTGCACTAAGTGAAGCTTTGTAGACTTAAACAGTTTAGGTTTTTATGTGAGTCATTATGATGTGCAAAAAAGTGCAGCATATATATGCTACACTAAAACACTTTTTAGTGCTTTCTTTATTGCCTCAAACTCATTCAACGTAGCCATTTTGATTGTTGTTTTCTATAATCCAATTTTCTATGGTGTTTGAATAAACCTATGCTTTATTGTTGACCGTCATCATTATTTTTGTTCTTTGACTTCATGATTTTATGAGAAGAATCTGTAATTTCACTGTAATTATTCGGTGAATATTCATATATTAATGATCATCTTTCTTCATTCCGATTAACCATGCCTTACTAAATATGAGACTTGAAATTTAATCTTGTGACGGACATGGATAAAAATTACATGTGAATGCTTCTGAAATTGGAATAACAAGCAGAAATTTACATGCCATAAATGGTTAGAGAAATCCACGGACTACATAAGACATACTTATTCTACTACATATTTATAAGTTGGAGAAGCTAACATAGAAATATCAGACAAAGGAAGAAAATAGCTAACAAGACCACATGGGGAGACCAATATTGGGATGATCAAGGAGCATTTCAATGCTGAAGAGTGTTTTTTCATTAATGTTTGCGTTCTCAATTACCGACTGTGATGTGTTAGTTGAGGCTGTGGCATCATTGCAGAGCGGAGTCATGGCGACAGTGGAAGAGCAGGCGAACAAGGCAGCATGTTGAAGGTGGAGGTGGACTATCTCAGCCTGTGCGAGGGCGAGTTGTGCGTGAAGGAGGTTAATCTGGCGCTGGAGCGACGAGATGGAAGCAACACAACCATAGACGGGATCTCTCACACGTGCATTCGCTTCGTAAACCAGACTGCTCACGGCGTCGCTACGCTGCACCACTGACAGCTCCTGCAGGACATTTTACAACAACAAACGGCTCAAACTTGCGTTTTGACAGCATTGAGTCCCTCATTGTGTTCGTTCAGTTTTTGTTTGTTTTGTTATGTTGATTTTTTTTTTGGTGAGATTGATAGTTTGCTGTAACTGTTTTTCTCTTTTTCTCATGTTTCATCTTCATCATGGAATGTGACAATGAGGCTGTTAGACCCAGGAAATTGAACTCTCTTGTTACATATTAATTGTGAGGATTTTAACAGTAAAGAGTGATTCTTTGGAGACTGGAATATGGATTAAAGTGCTAAAATAGTCCTCGGACTATTTACACGAGGCCATTTTAGTCCCAAAATATAAAAAGAACCAAATTAGTCCATAAACTATTAAAATGGGCTAAAATATCTTAATTAAAGGAGTTTACGGACTAAATTGACACTTTTATTGACTTCGGGATTAACAGGACGCTCTATAAAGATTCAGGGACAATTTTCACACTTTTCTTCTGGAATATACAACTCAGTTTGGATGTGGTGGAGTGAATAAAAATGGCAGTTTGTTTCAACTGAATTTTAACTATTTGAGTTTAATTTTATTTCTAACTCTTGAATTTCATAATTCAACACAAATTTCACTTCATTTTTATACTTTATATCATAAAATGATATGCTGTTGGCCCGCTCACTCCTCATGTACTTAAAATTTGTTTGTTTGTATTTAACACCTTACATGATCAAGTATGTTGAAAGTGAGTTAACTTTGTAGGCACTATAAGCATTACTTTCGGAATAAATCCACCCATAACTCCATGAATTTATAGTAAATTCTTTTTTTATTCGAGCTCAAAATATTACTTTGAATTTCTGTAGGGGATGAGAATGGAGCAAGGTACCTGCAGGAGCTTGCTGACATTACTGGCGCCGAAGACCTTGTGCACCGTGGCAAACTTCTGCGGCTCATCCGCGGGGAAGTAAGGTGCAAATATGCAATCCTGCACGCATCGCCGCCTCAGAAGCTTGCAAGCCGCACATGGAGACACAGCTGCCCCACTGCTGCCTTGCTTCCTGTTTGCCATCTCCTTCGCTTCTCTTTCCATCTTTAGCCTATGACTTCTAAGTGAGAGAAGGAATGTTAGCTGAAGCAATGGAGAGGAGAAGAGAATGCATGTGGAAAGAATGAAGGTGAGGAGCAGAGAGTAATGGAGAAGAGGAGGGGAGGCGGTGGCTATTTGTAGCGTTGTGAGGTGATCTGCATGTGGCTAGGCTATTATTATTATTTTTGTTTGGTTAGTTGATTTGATGTTTTAGAACTATGAGATTAAGTGTTAAGGCATAAGTTTTATTTATAGAAAAATTTGTGTTGGAATGTGTAAGGACATTGATAAAAAAACAAAGTTAAGCATCTCAAATATGCTTGTAGATGTAAATGAGAATGATTAGGTGTTTGATATGTAAATATATAAAAATTATGTGGTATGCATGACTTTTTATTTTTAATTTTGTTTTTATTTATTTATTTATTTATTTGTTTGAGAATTTTACTCTAGAGATGATTATATTGTCTTTAGAAAATATCTTGCATTATATATATATATTACGCATTTTGGTCTGCCATCATTATTTCCAATTTGAGAGGGGGGGCCACAGCAATTTGGCAGTGGATAGGTGCTGCAGAATGCTCTGATGATGTGGCTGTTGATGTTTATATATGCAATTTTTGGTAATAGTTTGTTGTCATGGAGACAGAAGAAATGGGAGTCATGAGATGACGAACCGTCTGGGCCCATGGGACCGGTTTGAACCATAGTTGAACCAACGTAAGCCCAGATTCTTTCAACTAACCTAAACTTCTTAAATCCGGTGCTCCAATAAATCCAAATGTTCTCTCTCTTTTAACGTTAATCCGAAATTAATTGATTTAATTGGATTTACTCTTAACTGAATCAAAGTTTGAGAAGGGTGGAAAAAAACAGCAGCAACTGAGAAGAGAGAGAGAGAGAGGCGGAATGAGGGTTATGTCCAGGCGGGTGCTGCCCGTCTGCGGTAGTATCTGTTGCTTCTGTCTAGCTTTGAGGGGGAGATCCTGACAACCTGTGAAACAAGTTGTTCTTTTCTGCATGATGTAATTCTTTGGTTTACCCTGTTATGTATATAGAATTGGAACAAGTTGCGTTATTTATAAGCAAAATTGATTGGCGTTCTTAAATGGTACTTAGGTGTTTGATTTGATGCTATCAAGATCAGAGTTGTATGGATAACAAATCTACTCGGACAATACTAGTGTCCATTGAATGCAACATACTTGGTTCAATGCATTTTATTTAAACAATGTAAACAGTATCTGGAATGATAAATGATTCTTACGTTGTTTATTTGTTGTCATTTTTCATAGCCGACATATTTAGCTGATACTTTGATGTTATCAGAACAATATTTATGTCATTTGCGAAATTATTTTTTGAAGATGTTGCCAAACCAGACAAATGTAATCTCCAAATAGGATAACATTGCCCCCTTAAGCAATATAGTTTTTCCCTTCGGGCATGGTCTATTACCTTCATAATATTTATTTCTTTTTTTTTGAAGCACAAACGCTTCTAGAGAGTCATATTATGTCAGGCACATGAAAAGTCTAGGACACCATATCAAATTCACCATTTGGCATTTCATGTTTTTTAATTTCAATAAGTTTAGCACACCCCTTGGACCCTTTTAGAGACCTCTTGACATATCATCAATATGAGAGACATATATTACAATTAAACTATGCCACTTTGATCATGATAACATGGTTCATCGTATTTGATATAAGTCTTCTTAGTAACTACTTCGACATTTAAGTGGCGATACTTATGATGGCACTGCCATAGAATACATATATTTTTGTGCTTTCTTCATAAGCCAACCCTTTTTTGAATATCAAATAAGGAGAAAACATGTGTTCAGGAAATAAAATTGAAGAAAAGAAAGGAATTCAACAAGTCAAATATCATAGAACGCTATTGGACTTTTTAGATTCTCGACGACTATGGTCATTTGAGCCAACTTTGCTTCACACACAAACAAACACTCACATTTCTTTTTTTTTTTAGGTTCCATCGTACCCTCTCTTAAGTGAGATGTATATCTCTTTTTTTGTATTATTATGAAGTGATTTATTTGGTTCTAAACTATCAAATATATAGTCATGACAATTCTATTGCAAACAACACAACTGTACATTGACAAAATAGTCATTTATCCAGAAACAACTGTAAATCAGCTGTTCTCCAAACGCACAAATCAAACAGCTAGTCATCTTAACCAGATTAGAGACAAAATGGTCATTTATCCAGAAACAGCTGTAAATCAACTATTTCCCAAACCTACAAACCAAACACTCAGCCAGCTATTTGGATCAGCTGCTGATTAACAACTTATTAGAATAAGTTGGATAAGCTTCAACTGCCCTAAACAGATCTTTAATCTGCTAATATATTTTTTTGACTAACAAATTAAGTTATAAAAATAAACAATAATTTAAATTTAGGCATATATATATATATATATATATATATATATAGTGTGTGATATATATATATATATATATGCCACACAATTCTTATGTGTTTGCATGTCTCGTACCTAAACATTCATATTTACATAAATATATCACTCTAAACTTTAATATCACTTAAAAATATCATTGAAATTGTATTAATAAGTTTTCATCATCCGACATGAATCTCAATGCGTGACACATCTCAAAATAATTTTTGAACAAGAAATGCTCAAATTTCGATTAAACATCAACCAAATTTCTAATTTCAGCAAATTTATAGTCGAACTAGCCGATTAAACGAGACAGACCTAACGAAATAAAAATTGGTTCAATCCGACTCAAATCAAGCCCAAATCAAGTCGTTAAATAACTTTCAAGATTTTTTTGATGTATTATTAAAAGATCCAAAAGATTCCAAATATGACAACCTTACTGTCAAATTGAGCATCTCGACAAGAAGAATCTAACAAGTCACTCAATTATTTAACATAAAACTACAATTGTAAACATTCAATGGTTGTTGTAAGAAGGATATGGCTATTAAAATCCTTTGGTACGAAAAAGGTCAAGGAGTCACTTCTCTTTTTTGCCGCCCACAACCACCCTACAATGCTTTCAAGTAATCAAATAATTTTAGCTTTTTTATGCTTAAGTACTATAAACACGTGGTACGAAAATTTATATTTTATTTTTTTTAAAAGCTAATGAGAGTGATAATGTTGAAGGTTATGCATGTAAATATATAATTGCATATATTATTACACTTCCCAGATTACGGTGCCCGCGAAAGACTTGAAACCTTTCTTTTAAAGGATTTTTTTTTTTTTTTGAGCATATGTTTTATTTATTTATTCTTATTATTTATTTTTTTATTCAAATAAAATTTCAATGAGCCAATAAATTTCTCGATTGCACCGCCCTTTAATAAAGTTGATAAATACTAATTGATTTATTGGTGAGCCAAATAAAATCAATTTCGAATTATATTTTGGAAAATAATAATAATAATAATAATAATAATAAAGCTTGAAAGAGATAAGGAGAGAGAGAGACAATTGTATTAATTATGTTGACATTTCACGGCCTTTTTGACTCAAATCGTGTGTACATGTTATTTCTTGTACATGAAATGATTTTTCTATTTATAAAAGAGATTGTATAATAAAATGTTACATTTTTTCTCATGCTTTTATTGAGAGTTGTGCAAGATATTCTAGGTGGTTTGCATAAATGAGTCAATCGTTTGGCTACTCTCTGGCTCGGTCAATTGAGCTCATTTGTTTTTGGTTCGATAGCTCAGTCTGTTAGGTTTAGCCGGTGTTGTTGGTCGGTTGAACTTGATGGCCTTCAGATCGGCAGGATTGTTCAATCAGTTAAATTAGTTTGATTGTCGACCCTTGATAATAGATAGAGGAGCATCTGGACCTCTCCGGCATGATTGTGGTTGTCGAGAGACTAGGGTTTTAATCTAGTCAATTTTTTTTATGTTGGTTGGCTTATATATCTCTTTGTTTCGTTTCTGACCAAACGACTTAAATTCGGATTATTTGGTCGTCTTTTGTGACTCGAATAACTTTGGTTTTTGCTAACTTTGGCTCAGACGGCTGCAATCAGTCATATAAGTTGACTTCATGATCTTCTGTCAGTGGGCATTCATTCGTTTTACTCTTCTTTTATTGACCATTAGATCTTCTCATGATAAGCGCCGACACATTTTCGATGTACAAAATCAATAAAATTTTCAAACTCTATAAACTCTTTTAAACAAATATCATCATTAAAACATTTTAATTACAATATAATCATAATTTTAATTTACAAAATTTTAAAAATGTAATGTCACAAATGCACCTACTTTATGACCTAACGATTTTGAGCGACATAATTATACTGCAGCTCGTTGATCTTATGGAGAAGTGTACCACGCCGAAATAATAAAAAAAACAAATAAATAAGGACGATTTACATCATATCGCTCAATCAATATATATCTACATATCAAACACTTTAATTTATTTATATATATATATTTATCTCTCTCTCTCCAACTCTCATGTGTATATATATATATATATATATGCATTCACCATCTTACCTATAAATGAAAATATTTATTTCAATTTTTAAAAGTAAAAAATAATATTTTTTATTTGATATACAAAATTTTGGTGATATAATATAAAAATAAAGTTTAGATGTAAGATATTAAAGAGTAAACTGCCAAAATATTCGTTGACTATTTATATGAGAACCTTTCAATCTCAAAATTTATAGAAGTATCAAAATAATCTTCAATTATTTTAAAGTTGAGTTTTAAAGCTTTCAACCTCAATTTTAAGAGTTTAGGACTGATTTGATTTTCTATAAACTCTGACATTAAAACAGGTCATTAAAAGTGTTAAATTCTATAAATTATTCCATGCGAACACGTGCTCCTTTCCTAGAGCGCCTCTACACCATATGGTTCTGCCCTCGTCCGTAACTACAATGCCCCAGTGCCATGTGGGCACGCTCGAGCCGGAGCACTTTCCAAACTTAATTTTTAAGAAAAATAACAGCTTCAGCTGATTAATTAATCTTAGCTTACACTTTTTTAAAATAAGATTAATAAATATTAAATTAGCTTATTAAATTTAAATAAATATATTCATATTAAATTGTTTTGATTCACAAATTAAAATTTATTTCAAATACTATGTATTTTTTGTACGAAATAAAATATTTATATTCGAGCGGCCTACCCACGATGATTTGTGAAGCCACCAGTTAGAGTTTAAGTAGAGAGAATTGAATATTTGTTAGAATATGTGCCCCATTTTTATCATATAAAACTTGTTATTTTCCTAACTTGTGTTTATGCGAGCACATGGTTATATACTTAAATAAAAGCCTCCCCTATCAACTACATCATGTATTAAAAACGACAA